CTTCCTTCCTTCCTTCCTTCCTTCCTCCCTTCCCTCCCTCCCTCCCTCCTTCCTTCCTTCCTTTCTTCTGTCTTTCTGTCTTTGACTTTCTGTCTTTCTTCTTCTTTTTTTTTTTGACATGGGGACTTGTTATGTTGCCCCGGCTGGTCTCAAACTCCTGGATCAAGTGATCCTCCCACCTCAGTCTCTCCAGGTGTTAGGATTACAGGCGTGAGCCACTGCACCCAGCCCCATCCATCTCTTTTTGTCTTGCAGAGTTTTCTTCAGGCATTGGAGCCACAGGCTGTGTCTTCTTACTTGAGCTCTGGTGCTCCCTTAAAAGGTACTTGTCCTGGTGTCTTCTCTCCCAGGGAAGTTTCTCAGGACTTTCAAGGGGTATCTCACCATTGAGTCAGTGGTCTGGGATTTTTGGTGGATCTGGCAGGAGAAGGTCAGAGAAGCTGCTGTCACCCCTGTTAATTAACTCTGTTACTTCCTGCCAAGTTGATAAAAACTGGTCTGGATGTTCCAGCCAGGCCAGGGTTCTAACCCTAGCTTCTGTTAAATGTCACAAGGGAACGGTCACCGATTGGCTGGCCCCTTCTGCCCCATGGCCTCTGCTGAGCTGGCTGGTTTTCAGGAGCTCTTGGGGTTTCTGGCCGTGGATGTAAATATTTATTCCTTCTGTGGGAAACAAGATAGGTGCTGGCTCAGGCTCCCTCCTGAGGCCATGGATTTCCTTATGATAAAGGCCTGTCCCCGTTGCCCACAGGCCCTGTGTGTGACCGTCTCCGGGTGTGAGCCCCCTTCCCAGTAGGGCCATTGACAACTTGACTAACGGCTGATGGGGGCCAGAGGCAGGTGGGCTAGTGGTCAGGGGGAACGGGAGGGCAAGGCCCACCTTGTGACCTGGTTCTTTGTGGTCTAGGCCAGATGCACACTGACCAGTGCCTGGGGCCATCCTGGGGGGCTGGATGCAGCCGATGCTGTCTGGGTATCCCATAGCCTGGGTCCTTCTAGCTCTGCCGCTCCTGAGGGACTGGGAGATCATTGCCCAGGGTCCCTGGCCCTCTAAGGGCTCCCTTGAGAGAGGACAATGAGGGCTGACCTGGGCCCCTGCTTCCCAAGAGACCACCGGGCTCCACTTGTGTTCAGTTTCCTGTCGCGGTCCATGATGTTACTCATGAAACGCCTGTGCCCAGAGCAGGGTCCAGGAGGCAGGGCAGGGGCTTTCCCCTTTGGGCAGAGCCACCAGGGCAGTAGGAAGCTTGTCTTGATGGGGTGACCTAAAGGATGCCATAGCCCAACAGCTCCTCCTGGGCCCTGCCCTTTGCATGCCCAGTCACTAATGGGGTCCAGCTCTTGGGGTGGGGTGACACACAATGTCTTGACTTCGGAAGGCCATCCTTCCAAGACCCGCCAGCCTCTCTCCTGTTAGCTTTCCACTACTTGCTTTCTAGAACCATTGCCCTCTGCTCTCCCCTGCCCCTCCAGGCCACCCTCCCTCCCCCGGCTTCCAGAGGCAGAGGCAGAGGCAGAGGCAGAGGCAGAGGCGGGCTGCAGGCAGCATCCTACACCTGGAGCTGCTGGTGGCCGTGGGCCCCGATGTCTTCCAGGCTCACCAGGAGGACACAGAGCGCTACGTGCTCACCAACCTCAACATCGTGAGTGCCCCCATGGGAGCGACCTCCAGGGATGGCGCTGGCCTGTGCAGGTCCCCATGGCCAGGGCTGGTGACCAGTGTCTGTGGGCTAGTGTATCTGGTGGTCTGAATACAATGGGTTAAACTCAGGTAGAATGGCTCGGGGCTCTTCCTCTTCTCCCTCCCTCCCCTGGGTGGAGGTGGGTGAGGTCCCACACCCCCTCTCAGCTCCATAGCACACGCACACCCTGCAGCCTCTTGCTACTCAAATCCCTTCATCTGGGGCCACCTTCAAGCCTGGCCTCTTCCTCAGTATCCATTTGACCCCCAGGAGGCTCAGCTAACACAACCCTGGCAAACGGGGTGTGGGCTGCTCACACTGCCCTCTGTACCCCGACCCTGCCCTCTCTCCTTCTCTCGTCCCCTACTCAGGGTGGCGAGGACAGGTCACCAGTCTGAAGTCTAAACAGAGACTGCTGGCAAAGGAGATGGCCACCTTCATTTCTTGCTAGCACCTGAATCCCTGCAGCCCCTCTTCACTTGAAAGTGAAGGGTGGGCAGGGAAGCTCTACCCCACTATCGGCCGTCTCAGAAAGACAAACAAGGCCGGGCGCAGTGGCTCATGCCTATAATCCCAGCACTTTGGGAGGCCAAGGCGGGTGCATCACCGAAGTCAGGAGTTCGAGACCAGCCTGGCTAACATGGTGAAACCCCGTATCTACTAAAAATACAAAAATTATCTGGGCATGATGGCAGGCTCCTGTAATCTGAGAGGAATCTGTGGTCTGAGAGGAGCAGCATTTGACCGGAATATCCAACTCATGACTGTCTGTGTGCTCTCATCCCCTTGCTTTGGAGTTTGTTTTCCTTGCCTTAGTTGGCCTTCCTGAGCCATGAGCTGAGGAGCAGCAGAGGCACGGCTGACTGTGCATCGCATTTTAGGAGCCCCCGCTTCCCACACATGCTTCCCACACATGCTCTCCAGCCCTTCGCACCCCGGGGGCCCCTGGGAGTCAGCAGCTGCCTCGGGCTGGCAATGCCCTCCTGACAGGTTACCTCTCTCATTTGTCCTTCCACAGGGGGCAGAACTGCTTCGGGACCCGTCCCTGGGGGCTCAGTTTCGGGTGCACCTGGTGAAGATGGTCATTCTGGCAGAGCCCGAGGTAGGCATGGAGCTGGAGCTCAGCACGCTATACAGAGCGGGAAGCCCAAGTCATCGCATCTCCATCCTCTTTAACCTCTTGTCCTGGATGCCCCAAGCAGCATGGGTCACAGAACACGTTCAGCCAGACGGACCAGCTGCCCTCGCAGCTCTATCCAGCACTCAGCACAGGCTGCCTGACTACTTCTCTGAGCCTCAGTTGTCTCACCCCTAACATGGGCTAGTCAGAGGGCTGTTATGAGGACTAACTGGGAAACACACTGACTGCAGTCAGCACCATGCCTGGTTGGGGTGTCCTAAATGCAGGCTTTGCTGTGAATCTGCAGGGTGCTCCAAATATCACAGCCAACCTTACCTCGTCCCTGCTGAGCGTCTGTGGGTGGAGCCGGACCATCAACCCCGAGGACGACACGGATCCTGGCCACGCTGACCTGGTCCTCTATATCACGAGGTAGCCGAGCTTTCTGATGGGTGCTGGTCAGCCAGCCTGGGAAAGCTGCACCCTCGGCCTCCTGCCCTCTACAAAGGTGATCCTGGGGCAGCCACGTGCCTTGGCACCACCCAAGTGACTGTTTTCTCTCACCGAGGTTTGACCTGGAGTTGCCTGATGGTAACCGGCAGGTGCGGGGAGTTACCCAGCTGGGTGGTGCCTGCTCCCCAACCTGGAGCTGCCTCATTACCGAGGACACTGGCTTTGACCTGGGAGTCACCATCGCCCATGAGATCGGGCACAGGTATGCAGCCCCACCAGCTGTCCCCAGGCTCTGGCAAGGAGCTGACCTGGGTACCTAGGATGGAGGTGGTCTTGGCAAGCAGTGGGTCCTTGTAGAGTTTCGCCAGAGGAGCCTGTACCCCTCACGCCAACAGACTCAGAAGGGTGGGTGTGAGGACAGGGGAACCTGATACTGTTTGATTAAAAAAACTTTTTTTCCAAAAGACGAGCAAAACACCTTTAGCAGGTAGAAAATAACTTCTGTGGAAATATGCAGGTAAAGAAAAAGCAGGCTGTAAAAACTATCTCAAATCCCACCATTTAGAGATAATGTCTCTTCACATTTTGTATTTAATTTCAGTCTTTTCTTTACACACACGCACATATTTTTTATTTGCAAAATGGGGATTTAGTTTGGATCCCTGAATTAAAGGAAAATTGTGATTATGCTGTTCATTGCTTTGTTACCTGCTATTTCTTTTTTCTTTTTCTTTTTTTTTTTGAGGCAGAGTTTCGCTCTTGTTGCCCAAGCTGGAGTGCAATGGCGCGATCTCAGCTCACTGCAACCTCCACCTCCCGTGTTCAAGTGATTCTCCTGCCTCAGCCTCCCGAGTAGCTGGGATTACAGGCATGTGCCACCATGCCCAGCTAATTTTGTATTTTTAGAAGAGACGGGGTTTCTCCATGTTGGTCAGGCTGGTCTCGAACTCCTGACCTCAGGTGATCCACCTGCCTCGGCCTCCCAAAGTGCTGGGATTGCAGGCGTGAGCCACTGCGTCCAGCCTTTCTTTTTTCTTCCTAGAGTGAGTGCAGGATTTACCTGCTCTTTATGTAATAATATATCCCAAACGTTATCCCAGGTCTCTTACAGGCGTGTACCGTAATTTATTTAATCAGGCCCTTCTCCTTGGATGTCTAGGTTGCCTGAACACATCTTCCTGTTGTGAACATTATACATTCTTGTGTGCAAGCCTTTGCTCCTACCTATAACCATTTACCTAGAGTGATGGGTTTCTTTTCAATTCTTTAGTTTTTTAAGTCTGAAAATAATACCCAATTGTAAAAATTCAAGCAGTGCAGAGATTTCTTTCTTTCTTTTGTTTTTTTTTTTTTTTTTTGAGATGGAGTCTTGCTCTGTCGCCCAGGCCAGAGTGCAGTGGCGCAATCTCGGTTCACTGCAAGCTCCGCCTCCTGGGTTCACATCATTCTCCTGCCTCAGCCTCCTGAGTAGCTGGGACTACAGGCACCCGCCACCACACCCGGCTAATTTTTTGTATTTTTTGGTAGAGACAGGGTTTCACCATGTTAACCAGGATGGTCTCAATCTCCTGACCTTGTGATCTGCCCGCCTCGGCCGGCCAAAGTGCTGGGATTACAGCTGTGCCCAGCCCAGTGCAGAGATTTCTAAAGTGAAAAGTGAATTTCTACCTTCCTTGCCCACCAACCCCCACCCGACCCCTTTCAACCCCTCTGAGCCTGGGAGGGTCGAGGCAGGGTTCCTGGGTGTGGGGCAAGGCAGGGCTCCTTCTCCCTCACAGGGAGCATAGTTTCCTTTTGCTCCTGTGATGCAGAACAGATAAGCCCCCAAACAGGGGCTTAGCCTGGGAGGGTTCTTGGCTTCACCCGGGAAAGAATTCAAGAGGGAGCAGGTGGTGTTAGACCGCAACTTTGATTGACATAGCAGTGGTCAGAGTGTGCAGCCCTGTGACTGTGTACAGCGCAGCGTAGCCCTTTTGAAGCAGGGCTACCCCATAGACACTGTGCTCAAAAGAGCAGCTCAAAGGCAGGGCTGCAGTCCTAGTTATACCCACTTTTAATTATATGCAAATTAAGGGACCAGACTATGCAGAAATTTCTAGAAAAAGAGCAGTAATTTCCGGGTTTTCATCATGGAAAAAGGGCGGTAACTTTTGGGTGTTGCCATGGCAATGGTAAACTGACATGGCCCACTGGTGGGTCTGTCTTATGGAAAGGGGCTTCCCACCCCTCCCTGTTTTAGCTAGTCCTCTGGTCCGGTGTCCAAGCGGGGCCTCCAGAGTGGAGTCCACCTCCTACCTCACGGGTGCCTGGCCTCTCCCACCTCATTAGTAGTCCTCCATCAGTTCTGCTTTGGGGAAAGCAAGCTCTGTTGTGACAGTTTGGAAACGGTTCACCTTCCTGGCCTAGGAATGCAAACAATGGCCAAGGGCAAACACATTTTAACTGAACTTTAAAATCGTGCTTTACTCACAGTAGGTGAATTTCACGCTCAACACATACATGTAAACAGTCCCCAGAGCAGCCCCTCAAGGCCCCGACCAGTCCCCCCCTCTCCACAGACTCCTAACACTGTGAATTAATGTGGCTTGCACGTTTTTAAAGCCTTTTGATATTTATTAGCAAAAGATGCGGAAGCCACCCTGCCGGGCTAGCGCTCCCTTCTGGGGAAAACTGACGCAGGGCGCACAAGGCCCTCTGCACTGCGCCCGGTTAGCAGGTGGCGGCGTCAGGGGTCGACCTGGGTCCGAAAACTCGCTGGCCCTGCGGCACTAGGGCG